ATAATAAATTATATATTAAATATTTATATGCATTATTTTCATATAATAGACAAACCACATCATTATAAAAAATTACAATACAATATTATAAAATTACAATACAATGTAATTTTTTATAATATGTAAAAATTAACTAAAAAATATAATATAATTATAAGTATTGATGTGCAATAGAGTGGTTAGTAGGTTAATTTAAAGAGATTTGATGTAAGAAAATTTATTTTGAGATTTATCTATGTTGATTATAGTATTTAAAATATATAGGATTTAGATATTTAGTATAAAATTTAAAAGAAAGATTGAAGCTCAAAGATGAAGATGAAAACCTTTAAAAAAAACTTATTTGGAGGGATGAAAGCAAGATATGGATAGATAAAGGCAAAAGATAAAGATCTTCATCCTTATTAGTTGAAGGCCATGCCTTATAGGCATTCAATGAATTGTCTAGGCCATAACAGGGGTTTTGGTGACTTTAAAAGAGTCATTTAAGAATCAAAAGTAAATATTATAAGATTTAGGATTTGAGCTACAATTTTTGTACAAATTTTAGAGGATTTGGAATTAAGGTAAAGAAGTTATAGTAGTTTGAGGTTTAGATATTTTTTTAAGACATATTGTTGCTCTTTTAAAGATAAAAGGAGTTTTATGATAGATTTTGGAAATAGGAAGGAGCAGCTATAAGTATGATTTTAAGATCTACATCTTTTTTGAAAGAATTTTTGCATTTGGAATTTTGTGAAAGAGTTATAGAACATTAAAGATAGCACATGTAATTCAAAGGCAATAAGTGAGTCATTTTATTGATAGTAATGGTTGGAGCCATATCTTTAGTTTTCAAACAAATTTTTGACTCAAAATCTCCAAAAGTGTATATTATTAGGTTAAAAAGCTATACATCAAAATATTATGGTATTTAAATATTTAATTTGTGAGATATGAAGAAAATTACATATGGATATATATAAATAAGGCTTTGAAGCTATTATTAGGATTTTGGCGATATCTCAAGATTCGTAATGAATTTGCTATTGAAATTTGTTGTGGTAGTTTTTAAAAGTATATTAGTACTTCATGTAAAATTTTGGTTTGTTTACATAGTCCAATTATGAGATGTGAGCTATTGAAGTTTGAAAAAAATAGGTATAATGGAAATAATATAGTTAAGACAACTTTTGGAGGATATTTAAGTTGTACAAATAGAAGTACCTTTAATAGAGTGTGATAATCAAGAATGTCTTATATTTGCAAAGAATTCAAAGCATCATTTAATGACCAAGTACATTGACATTCAACATCACTTCATAAGAAAAAAGATTGAAATGGGAGTAATTAATATTAAATATTATCCTAAAAAAGACATGCTTACTGATTTGTTAATAAATATATAAGTAAAGTATAGACATTAAATATTGACAAAGACATTAGGATTAAAAGCATTTGACTTATAGCAAAGTGATAGTATTAAAATGAATAAGTAAAAGTAAAAATAAAATAAATTATATTATAGAAGATATTATTTAAAGTAAGTTATTTTTGGTCAAAAGATTGACTCTTGATATGTAAAAATAATAAGAAATAAAGTAGATGAATGAACAAAGGATCTTAAAGATATAAAGAATATATTAAAAATATATTCTTATAATAAATAAGATAGTTATAGATAGTCTTGGTAGAATATTGAATGGATGTATTTATTAAAGCATAGAAATTATCTATTATAATAGCAACCACCACCTATAAATAAAAAATATTGGAAGTAAAAGATATCTTATTTTATAATATCTTTATGAGCAATCTTGTTAATGTTATGTATGAGTGGCTTCAAAGTTCTTTTTCTTCAATACAAAGAAGGTTAAAGATTTTCATCAATAACATCCATCAAAACCAAGTTAAAAGATAGTAAATCTTTACTATAAAAGAAACACAATTTAAAGAAACGTATTCTATCTTCTATCATTATTTGTAATTTTTGTATAGTTGTGGCATTAAGGAGATGAAAAACCATCAACTAATAAATCCAATTTAAAGACCATCATTTGCTAACTTATTGGAAAAGACATTGTCATTATTACAACCTTCTAGATGACATAATAGAGATGAAGACCTTCAAAAGCAACATATTTTTCTTCAAATAGATGGCAAGATGCAATACTTTTAATATGATGACTTGGAAAGAGAGTCTTGATGTTTGGTGATTTTATTGGAGGTAACAAAAACTTATGATGGTATTACAAATGTTTTATTCAAAAAAAATTATGAAGATCTTAACAATGATTAAATAATAGGACAGTCTTCTTGCCCTAGAATAGCATACTATAGATGGCTAAGAAGACCTATCAACTACTTTTAGAGAGAACAAAGATTAGAATATATGACAAATATAATTTACTACATCTTAGACTCCTTCTACATATGATCATTGCTCTTTGTAGAACTTGTCTTTAAAAAGGAAGATGATATCATTGACATATATTTATTATAATTGTTACCTAAATAATATGAATATGTAGAAATAGATAAAAATAGATTAATTTCATAATATCTTCTAGAAAAGCTTCCTAAAAGCTTTATAGATGCTACTTTTACTTCATATGTATTTATAGTTGATTGATAGATTGAAAACTTGGTCAAAAAGTTAACTATGTGCTATGCATGTTGATAGTTTACACAACAAGCTAATAGTATGGCACCTATATAAAAAACTTGCCTTGCAAGTTAAGATATGTGTTGTACAAAATTAACATGTTTTGGAGGTTCTATAGAACATTGCCATGTAGCTCTTATATACATAGTATATATAGATGCAAGAGTGAAGCCTTCTTCATTCTTGTCAACTCCTTTCTTGCTTCTAGTTTAGTTTCAAGAAGTTCCTAGTTTTCTTATCTTTTAGTAATAGACATTCTAGTTTTTTTTTAATATATATATATATATATATATATTATTTTATTTCTATTTTATTATACTTCTTTGAAAAAGTCTCACTTATTTATTAATTTTTATCAAGTTCTTGTCTTTGATACTAATCCCATTTTATTGATGCAAATCAAAACCAAAAGCCATTATTTTTTATTTAGAATAATGAGATAAATCTATCAATTACTTCTTGAAGTTATGATAAGTACATCATTGTTTCTTCTTGCTTGTACATTGAACTTATCACAATTCCACATTCTATCTAGAAGGTATCTATATAAGATATATACCTCACTTAAATTATCATAGAAGCTTTTTATATTTTTTTGCTTAATGCTTTTGCTTTAGAAGATGCAAAGGCTTGTACTACTTTCATTTTGAACTCGAAGTGATAATGTTTAAATCACCTCAGCTATTTATTATTCAAGATCTTTTTTTTTTTCAAATGGGATGCACTAAGTCATAGTTATTTCAAATACTTCTATTTTTAAAGATTTAGGATTTAAACCTATGTGCCTATTTCATATGGTTAGAATGTACTACACAACTTTGCCCTCTTCTTCCTAAGTTAGTACCTCTTATATTTTCCTCATTTTTAATGTTTGTACAATATAACACCATTCTCTGAAAGTTGAATATGGAATATCATGGTTTTAAGTTGTTTGCTTGATGCTTGCACCTTGTTCATACTCTACTAAGAACGCTCTCATTTGCTCATTGCCATAGAAAGAATTTTTTTACCTTGATAGTATTGCTTTAACATTGCCTTACTTTTAGTTGGAATTGTTAATTGCTAACATCACCTAATGTTATCTAAGTATCCATGATATCTTTTACATTGGAATTCTTAAAGAGTAATACCTCACTCTCCTTCTTCATTCTAATCTTCTCCACAATTCCACTGTAATTACTCCTTCTTCCACTCTAATGGTTTCTTCTTTATCTACCCAATTAATTATTCTCTTGGCCTCACCTAATGATACTTTCTCCACTTCTTCCTAATCTTTTCTCAACTTTATTATTCTAAAAAAATTTCATACTTTGCAGTTGCAAAATCTCAAATACCTTGTAGTTATCAATATAAGTTCCAATGGAAGAATTAAATTCACTTCCACTACTATATTGGTCATGTTTTCTACTTTTAAAGAAAAATTCTAGTTGATCACTCCAAGTTAGTATAAAACTATCAAATGCTACCATACTCTTGATAAAATATATACAATCCAGTTTGCAATCAAGTTATTAGTTCTTCTCTCGTGCTTTCTTTTATACAACCATGTATGAACTAAAGAATCCAAACACTAAACACAAATAAAAATATTTGAAAATATACATAATTAAGTTTGTAATCAAGTAACGAGCTTTTCTTTTATATTCTTGCTTAGCCTATATGATGAACTTATTTCAAAATAGAGCTTATATCTACCACTTGAAACAAATTTTATTAAACTTAAATTCCACCTCAACTTGTCAACAATTGCCACCAAAATTAAAACACATCCATTCTATCTTGCAAGACCTTATTAAAATAAAAATGCACACTTATAAGCTACAAAACTAAATTATGAGACCAAATTTGAAATATGAATTTAATCAAAATAGAATCAAAATCCAAAAATCCAATTGTAGAATTATAGAGTTGTAGAATAGCATAAATTACAAATGTCAAGAATGTAGGAGTCAACTATATTTTATATTTAATTAGAGTCTTTTAGATCTTTGCTATGTCACCCATGCAAATCCAAAAATTATAACCACACTTACCAACCACTATATGTTTAGAAAGTAATTAACCACCAATACATAATCAATCATCTCAAATGAACAATTCTACTAATAAATAATTAATTTTTGTATTATCACCCATATTTATTTCAATACAATTAATTAACACCTGAAGGTGGTTAATTAGACCACCTTGAAGGTGACTAGGAATAGATTATCTACCTTTTGTGAATAATTTAGCTCATGCACTTGTATTACTTGTATTAAGGCTTTTGGCTTTTACCTCTCAATACTCTAAACTTGAAGTTGAGCATTACATCCACAATCAAGAGCCTAATCTAGATGTAATAATTATCACACAATTTGAATGAACCAATATTGGATAAATTTTTATCACGAAAGTAAAACTGATCAACTTGACACGGAATTAGATCTGTGTTGTGATAGTAGATTCTACCTCATATACCGTGGAAGCCGAACAGTATGGAACTTAGATCACAAAAGTAGAGAGAGAGCACGAGGCGCATCGCGACAGATTTCTATGTGACGAAGGATGCAATACGCGTCGTCAGTTCCAACATCCAACTTGCGAATGAAGATCTAAACTGAAAATCTTCTGCGTTGTTAACGATGATATGATTTTTTCACAAGGACCTGGCAGATACAGTGCAGATACAGTGAGTCCAGGAGCTGCCGGACCTTCAGAGATTGATGGTTTTGAGGCCATTTTCGATGGACTGCTTCACAGCGTTGAGCACCATTTGAGTCTTTACAGAGATCTCTGACCACTTGGGTTCCACCGCTCCCGTTCCATTTCGAATGTTAGCAACAAGCCTTGCGAATTCACGGATCATGTGAGCTTCTTGGGGAATCTCCAGAGTTACTTCTTGGAAGTCCTCAGTGCGGTGCCAACCAGCAAGCTTGTCCTTCCAGCTCGTGTTAGATACCACTTTGAAGGAGGACTTCACGTTGCTCGCCGGAAGGGTAAAGTCGTCGGATTCCAAGCTGCCGGTCTCTCCCACGACGAGGAGTTTCATGACGTGGCTGGTGTTGAATGAGGTTGTGAAAGTTGCCGTGCGGCCATCGGGCCAGACGAGCGTTGCCCCACAACTCACTATCACGCCTTTCTCATTGTACGAAGCACCCGGATGTGCTGTGACGGATGCTGGCATTTCGTAGTCGTAGGCCCAGAGTATGCCGCGCGCGCAGTACCAGCCGATGTCACCGAGGGCGCCCAAGCCGTCCAAATCTGGGTTTCCTCGTACATCCGCAGTCAATCCTCCTATACTATTATATGCCACTTCGGCGTGGTAGTTAAAGGTTGCATGAACCTGCGCACGGTTCAAAGATAGGTTGATGCATTAGAGCTTTCAACTACATTTATTCAGAGACTGGAAGAGTTTCAATTAGGATTAGAGGTTTACGGTTACCTCGAGGATTCTTCCGAGTCGGGAAGAATCGTGGAGAACAGCCTCCATCTTCCGCGTGCGAGGATGATGCATCCACATAGTCCCGTCCATGTACTGTAGACCATTCTTGTCAAGAGCTTCGACCATGACTTTGAGTTCCTCCACAGTGCGAGCTGGTGGCTTCTCAAGCAGCACATGTTTCTTCTTTGCAGCAGCTTTGAGGACCCATTCGACATGAAATGCAGTGGGAAGGGGGATGTACAGCGCGTCCACCTCCTCGTCTTCCACAAGCTCGTCGTAGCTACCGTACACCTTGGTCTCCTCGGGGAGTTCGTTTTCTGCCGCAAAGCTCTGAGCCTTGGCTAATGTTCTGCTCGCAATTGCGTAAATCTTAACCTCGGGGAGTAGTTTCATGGATCTTACGAGGCAGCGAGCTATATTTGCACAACCGAGAATGCCGAACTTGATCTCGTGCGCCATTGTGAGGTTGAAGATGTTGATAGATTGTGGCGCCGGAGGAGTGGAATGGAAACCAAATGTCGATTCAAAACCTGCGCAAATTGTACTGGTACACCAACATTCAGGGCTTCCGTACATTCCATGGTGGAGCTTTTTCCAAAAAGTTCTAAGGAGTACTAATTTCTGCTCACATACTTTAAGCTTCAGAGAGGTAAAGGGTGTGCAGAGTACCTGAAGCTAGGGAATTTGTATTTAAGAAACGGTGCTTATCCAACTGCCGAGGATTCGCAACGTTCCTCGGCAAGTTTGATGTCAACCTCGATTATCCACGCCTCAGTTTTCGCTCCTGAGAAAGCAACAAATTCCACCCATCCTGACCAGCATTCTCTAAAGAAATCAATTTCTACTGCAGTCGAGTCGCAACGGCACAACATTCCACACTAGCATTCGCGTGCAACAGTGCTCATTCACTAACCCCCACAGTTGACATTTCAGCAGTTTCATACCCACGAAATTTCCAGCAAGATAATATTTTCGTTTCCAATTCATTCCAATCTACACAAAAACTCCTTCCAAACCCAGATTACCGCAACTTTTCCACCACCCACAAGGAATCAAGCCAAGTACACCGTAGCCTTGTCTCAATTAACACACACCTGGCGAGCAAACCAAAACTCATCCGGCACACGCCTCCGCAACGACAAACTCTCTCGCTCTCTCACTCACCGACTCCCTCACTTAGCCCCACAGTCACCTCCAACCAGCAACGTCAATACGTACCCTAATCGCCAGAAGTTCAGCACGACTCCAACCAGATGGGCACCAGACCGAGATTCTGTGAGCAACAATCAGCTTGAGCGTCAGAATAATGCTCACACTGACAGCAAACAGGGATTTTTGAGACCCCTGGACATGTTCACTCCGGTGTCTGTTCACCATCGCCAGTGCTGGCTAAGGCTGATTGATTCGTCGCAAAAGGCGCGCTGTCGGACCATATCCATCGCTTTTGGGCACGTCCCCTCTGCATGCCCACAGCCGAATAACGGAGCGCCGGGATTGTTGATTGAGCATGGCCGTAGGATTCCAGATCTAATTTATAGGGTCACACTTTTTTGTTTTACATTCACAGGGTAAACCAAATGTTATTGATTAGCGGTGGTGAAAACAAGTCATCTAGAGCCCTAACAGGTAAACTTTGAAAGCACGTCATCTTAGCTATCTAAAGCTTGTTTTATTTTTTCTGCCAGATGAATGGAGTATACTGACTGCATCAATAGAATAGAAAAAATATAACAGACTATTTAACACCTCAAATTCAAAAGTCATGTTAAGAGTATTTATAACATGGAGTAACTATTAAAGCAAGCTCATTTGCAATTTTACATATGATCACACCATACTAAGGTATTATATAGTTTGCTTTATTCAAGGAGTATATTGGTGAAAATTTAGTCAAGAATTTCATATGCCATTCAAAATCTCCAATAAGAGCCTTTATCTTGTTTGTGAAGGAAAAAAAAAATAAAAAAAAAAATAAAAAAAAAATGATGTATGTAGATTATTGAGGACTTAAGAAGTTTTTCATTAAAAATAGGTATTCTTTACATTTAATATCAAGTCTTCTTGATTTTTTAATCAAAAAAAAAAAAAAATATATATATATATATATATATATATATACATATATAAATATACATATATAAATATATATTAAAAATAGATCTAAAAGGAGCATATAACATGATATGCATTAAAGAAAAAAATGAATAAAAGACTGCATGCCAAACAAGGTATGGGCAATTTGAATATAATGTTATGTCTTTTGGACTCATAAATATGTTAGCTATTTTTTTAACATCTAATGAATGATGCTTATTGAGAATATTTAGATGATTTTATTTTTTTGTAATCTAGACAATGTTTTAATCTATTCTAAGAATAAAAAAGAGCATAAACTTCATGTTTGTTGTATATTACAAAAAACTTAGAGATACATGACTATATACAAAGATAAAGAAGTGTATATTTGACACAATTCAAGTTAAATTTTTAGGAAATATTATTCCAAATGATGGCCTCATAAAAGATCTTAGGAAAGTTTAAACTATTAAAAATTAGAAGGTTCTAAGAATAATAAGAGATGTTCAAAGTTTTTTGGAATTTGTCATTTTTTATTGAATCTTTATTAAGAATTTTTTTCAAATTGTACCTTAACTTACTTATTTGACTTGCAAAGATAAACTTGAGTAGAACAAAGAAGTTGAAGCAATATTTGAAGATTTCAAAATAGCTTTTATAAAAATCTTGACCTTATATTGTGTTAATTTTTTAAAGCATTTATTTAAAAAATAAAATACATCTAACTTTTTTTTGAGTGCAATATTGACAAAAATAGGAGTAGATGAAAAACTTCAAATAATAGATTTTTATTTAAGAAATTTTTAATAGTCAATATTGATTACAAGATCTATAAAATAATATCTTTTTATAATTATGGATTCACTTAAAAAATGAAACTATTAATTAAAAGTTACTTCTAATCCAATTGTTAAGGTGTGGAGCCTAATTTATATCTATAATAAATGCAAAGAGGTTAGAAGAGGCGACAATCCCTCCTACAGTAGCCCTATTGGTTAATCAGTAGGCAAGGTCAAGAGGCACCACTTCTTGTAGAGATTTTTGACAATAGAACCTCCTAAAGAAATTTTGATTTTAATCTTTCAAATATATTAGGTTTTTTTTTGGAAATGATATTGTTCTATGCAAAATCTTAATTTTGTAGATTTGAGAGTACCCTTCTCTAATTTTTTTTTATTATTTATTTATTTTTTTGATATTTTTTCATTCTATTATGTTGGTGAATTCCTAACATCAATAATTTTATATACAAATCTTAAGAATTTCAAATAATTTATCTTAGTACATGTTTTAAATTGTCTCTAAGTTTCTTAGAGCATAACTTTGTAAAAATCAATATTACTATAAATTAAAATGAGGCCATAAAATTGATCATATCAATCTTTTATAAGAAGTCTAAATATGTCAAATCATATCTTTATTTTGATAGTTATGAAATATATAAATAATACATATTTTTTATTAAAAATTTAATATTTATTTAAAGTATTTTTTTTACATGAATTTTTGACTTTTTTCTAAAAAATCATTTTTCTTAAACAAAATCAATAGAAAATTTAAAGAATTATGCTATACATGTTATGTACAAAAAAAGCATTTTATCCCATTTTTCTTCTTAAGACTTTTGGACTTATTTTTCTAAATATAAACCAATCAAAGCATTCATTTTGATTTCATTTAATCAAAATATATAAATATTAAAACCTCCCACTTTTTTTCTTAAATATAAAATATTATTTCTGAGATATATATATATATATATATATATATATACATAGATATGGATACATAAAATTTTGAAATGAATAATTAAAATTAAATAGATGATGCTTTAGAAAGTGAATAGATATGCAATTATATCAATACAAAAACAATTAGAAAAAATAAAATATGGTTTAATAAGAAAAATATTAAATTAACCTAAGGTTTTACTAAATGAATCCACCCATCTTAACTATTATGAAAAAAATAGACATCTAGATTTATTTATCTATTATTAAATCCTCAACCAATAAAAACCAATCACATTCATTATTATCTTAATCTTCATCATTGTTACAATCATCACAATACTACAATCTCTAGCCTCTTACGAAAATCCTAATTTTTTTTTTATTTAAAAAAGAGCCAAAGACATATCTAGATTCAATTTTCTTGTCTTGCCTTCCATTTCCTTCTTGTATTGTACTCTACCTCTCTTGTCATGCTTTGCCTCTTAAATTGTACTTTGCCTCTTGTGTTACACTTGTGCTTTATTACTAGAATGGTTTAGAACCATTATTGTGCTCCTAATTTCATTAAAATCCTATAATAGACTATATGAGATAAACCTTTTACTTTTGAATGTTGGAATCAAGATATTTAAACTATGGTATATTAAGAGTACATTCCTAATACTTTTCAGACCATCAATGATGCACAATTATACTTGCATATTTTTAGTGACATTGAAGCTATTGGTCTCCAATCCAAAATGTCATTTTCAAAGTAGTTGAATTTTGTTAATGCTTGAATACCTAGATTCTTATACATCAAGAATCTCAAGTATCTCTTCTATGTCTCTATATAGGAACTATCCTTGTAATTTTTTTTTTATGGCTTTTGATTTTTTCAAAGTTGTGGTCAAATAATTCCCTTTAGAAACTATTTTCAATTTTTCTATTAATTTTAGTTGTCAATTTTATCTTCTCTTTTTTAACCTACCTTTCAAATATTTATATTTTCATGGACTTAATCTTGTCTTTATCTTCTTTAATTTAATCTTCAACTATCTATATCTTCATTAACTTCTTCTTTTCTTTATCTTCTTTAATCTAGTCTTCAACCATGTATATCTTCATTTTATCTTATAACTCTTATAATTCAATATTAGACCAAAAGTTTATGAAATAACATACAAGCATGTCATTTATTCTCTCTTTTATTATGACTTTCTTTTAATGATAATAATATAAATTTGAAGCTATTTATAGCTTCTTTATAATATATTTCTTCTAATATTATTTAAACATAATAAAAATAATTTATTTCTAACTACCATAATTATCAAAGGTGGTTTCAACCATCTTATCTTTTAAACACATAGACGGTTGATCTCTTTGGTTTTTTATATATTTTTTTTTTCTAATCTTATTTATACTTATTTCTATAATTTTTTTTCTATACCAATTTCTATTTTTTTTTCTAATTTTTATATTAGTCTATTTCTTTTCCATTTTTTTATAATACATATTCTTAATAAAATAATATATTTATTTTATCAATTATAACTTTTAAGGTTAACAACACTTATCTCTTATTTTTTAAATTTTAATGATTTTGTGAAACTTTGCTAAGTATTTTAGATACAAGATACAAGTTTGTAATTATTAGATTGAAAATAAAATTCTTATATTTATAATATTTAAAAGCAAGCTTTTGTATTTACTTAGACAATTAGAGCTTGCTAGCAAACATGTACATATTTGCTTCTTATGAATGGAATTATCAAGGACATTAATTTTATAGAATTAAAAGATCAATAAATTCTTCTATTACTCAAATAAACCAGAAAATAATACTAAGATGGTATAATATTAAACTAGAATGGCTATTGCCAAAGAAAAAAAGACAAAAAATTCTTGAAATAAGACCAACGACTAGAAAAGCGTTGATAAGAATTAAAAAAAGGCTTTATTCTTACTTCTATGTATACTATCTAACTAAAAGCTATGTCACAACATTCTATAAAATCTCTAATACATGTCTAATTTGCCTTAACTTGTAATGCAAGTTTTTTATATATATGCAATATCATTGGCTTGTACCACAAGCTATCCACTTGTGTGGTATATGGTTAATTTATTAGCTCAATTTTAAACCTATCAATTAACTATAAATATGTATAAAGTCAAATTTGTATTTATAAAGCTTCTAAGAAGCTTTGCTATAAGATAATATCAAATCTTCCTACATTTATCTTCTATATACTATTTCTTATCTAGATAAATATATATGACTATGATATTATGTCCCCTCCCTCAAATTCTACAAGAAGTAGTCATTGTATGTTAAAGAAGTCCAAGATGCAGTAAATTGTGTTTGCCACATACTTTGATTATTATTTCCTTTGGAAGTGGTTGATAGGTCTTTTCAACCATCAATAGTATCCCATATCATGCTAAAAAAAAATACTCAATTATTTGATCATTGTTGAGGCCTACATAATGTTTTTCAAATAAAACATTTGAAGTGCTATCAAAAGTTATTGTTGCCTCCAATAAAAATTACCAAACATTAGAA